ACATGGATGTCCTGACTTATGTTACGGACATACGGTACGTGGGTAGTGAAAGACAAAGGCACACGGATGCAACGTCAAGAACCAGAAGGTGCCGAGCCCCATGGCAGGATGGGGGGATGCCCTTAGGGCAGGTCTCTGAGGTGGGGGCTGCCTGAGCCCTTTTCACCGTCTCTGAATTGGGAAGAATGTGCTCTTCCACTTGGTGAGTGCCACTGCGATGAGGATTTATCACATTTAGCACACTCTACCGAGATGACCCATTACTTGCAAGAACGATTTAAGGGCGACAGGGAAATGGAGGGCAGCCGCCTGCTTATGCACCAACGGGCTTAGCTGCAGTTGTCTAGAACAGTCTCCTCCTGCCAAGATCTTTCCTTTCTCAAAGGGGACCAGCTGAGACTGGCCCACCTGGGCAGTAAGGAGCTAGCATGCAAGGTCTCCCAAGCCGAGTCTATGCATGCTGTGGTCTCCAGCTCCACCTCACGGCCTCCAGGGAGGGGGTGTGCCTCCAGAAACTTCAAAAATCAGTTACCGTGGGCCACTTTAACGTACCAATCCCACGTATTTCTAAAGGAAAAAAAAACTTTGATATTTGCCTCAGCTGCAGGAAAACTTGACTCCATCTCGCAGTGAACCCCCTCTGGCCAACTGCGCGCTGTCTCCCTCCCTGTATAGCCCATTAGGCCCAGGACTGCGGCTGAGTGCCATGATTCTCTGGCAACTCCAAACCACTTGCGGCCTCTGCGTATCAGGCTGATGCCGGATCGCGGGCATTTGTTTCTGTTTCTGTAGCCTACAAGGTCACTTCCCGACTCCACCAGCCCCACCTCCACCTTTAACCCTCAGAAATCCTTTCTGCTGGGGGAGGGGCACCCTGCGCAGATCTCCCAAGGTGGGCCCAACGCATGCTTCTTTCACTTAATGAACTACACGGTACCGAAATGACCCACCTACTCCCCTACGTGGCCTCTGCTCAGGCCAGGGAAAAGACCCTGGCACCCCAGGGCCTAGTCGAAGCCTCGTGTGTGGTGGACACTCAACAAAGCTCAAGTGGGCTACAATCTCTAGGATCACCTAGAGAACTCTGTTTACAAGGGGCTTAATGTCTGTGCTTCCCAATCAACTTGCTAGATACCAACTTTCAGTTGAAATTTACCATTATTTTATTTATTTTTATTTTTAATTTTTTAAAATTATTTTTGAGAGAGAGACACACAGAGCGCCAGCAGGGGAGGGGCAGAGAGAGACACACATACAGAATCCGAAGTGGGCTCCAGGCTCTGAGCTGTCAGCAGAGCCCAACACAGGGCTCAAACCCATGAGCCGTGAGATTGTGACGTGAGCTGAAGTCAGACGCTTAACGACTGAACTACCCAGGCGCTCCCAAATTTACCACTATTTTAAAGCAGAGAAAAAGAGGACTGTTTGGGCAAAGTGCTTTCATTTACTTGAAAATATATATCTTAGTGAATGTGATCACTTACATACAATTAAACTATGAAAAGGCAAAAGCGAAGGAATCTCATTTAATGAATACTTATGGCCAGTAACTTTGGTACATAGTTTAGAGCTATCCCTTTACTTAAAAGTCAAAATCCAGGCTTAAAAATTGATTTTTAAGTAAAAATAAATTACGCTTTTTAAAAATGAATCTGGGGCACCCTGGGTGGCTCAGTCAGTTGGGCATCTCAGTTCGGCTCTGGTCATGATCTCGTGGTTCATGAGTTTAAGCCCCACGCCGGGCTCCGTGCTGACAGCTGGGAGCCTGGAGACTGCTTCAGATTCTGTGTGTCTCTCTCTTTTCCTCCCCCATTTGCACTCTGTCTCTTTCTCTCAAAGATAAATAAATATTAAAAAAAAATTTTAAAAATGAATCTCAAACCATGAAAAGGTGATCACGTTCCCTAAGAAAGACAGACTCAAGGCCAGCCTTCAGACAAACGGGAAGATGAATTTTCAATACCCTTGGGTTTCCACTTGGATTTTGCCGCTGGGCGGTCCATGGAGAAGAGGGTCAGAAGGGTTTATTCTGATCAAGGCCAGCAATAGCCTCATTGCATAGCACCTGCCCACTCATAAACAGGGCTGGGGCCACAACAAGTGTCAGATCCCCCTATGAAAGCATCAGATCTCGTTCCCATCAGCGGCTTGGAGGCCACTCCTCCTAGTCATGCCACCATTAGTTAATGTCCCAAAGCAAAGGCTCCTCAAAAACTCTTCTTTTAGGTTCTCTTGTTTACACCTCAGCTGTATCCAACTGCCTGGTATGACTAAATGTTTTCTGCTTGGAACATTCTAGCTCTCTGGAGATCCCTTCCAGTTTTGTGATTTTATGAGTCCTTGAACAATTCAAACAATCAAATGAGAAACACATCATTGATTGACCTCATATAAAAAGACATGCAATTCCAAGTACTTAATTAAAAACGACATTTGCTACTGTGGACACAAACCCAGGCAGCTAAAGGTTCCAGTAACATTTCTTTGGAGAAGCCAAGAGCAGGTGATTGGTTTTATCCCACCAAATGAATGAGTATGCGCATGATATGTGCAGTCTTGCCAGTCTCCCGACATCGCCAGGTAAGGCGTTACTTGCCAAGACTGGTGAAGTAACAGAGCAAAAACACACGTAAAGTGCAATTCCAATAGGGCAAAACAAGAACCACGATGGTTAACCTAGATAGGAGCAGAGCCAAGTGCTGGGGCCAGCCTTCACTCCTCACGGGTAAAGCCTCCATCCACAAAATGCTTGGAGGACACCCAACACCAGCATCTCTCCCTCCATGAGTTACAAAAACGGTGGAGACACATGATGTAAAACTCAAAAGAATTCACAGTATCACAAACACACACAGTTGGTTTGCTAAGCACTTCTCACCAAATTCAAGCACCCACACAGATAAGGAACAGGCAAAGGCAAAGCAGTGGATACCGTGATATATCTGTGGTTTTTGATTCTGACTCTCATCATCAATGAGGTGTCAAGTGGTTTCAGCCTCCTAGTGGCTCTGAGGGCTGGGGTACCACCATGCTGGGAGGGAGGGGTCTGTGGTGAAGTGCAGGGTTATGGACCAGAGCAACCACAGTGTACACTCGTGACCCAACAGGGACAGTCAGCTTCCCCAGTGGGGCCTGAGCTCATCTAGACCTAACTCGGATCCACGTCAGGCTTGCTGGGCACTGATCTACTGCTTGCCTAACACTTCTCCCTCTCCACATACGGGCCACACTCCAAATCCAGGAAGGGAAAACAGAGAGATTCATTTCTATTACTCATTTCCAACACATGGTTCTCTATTATGTACAACTTAGTAAATGGCTCCAAGTTCTAGTAGTAAGCTATAATATAGATATTTGAATATTTTAAATTTAATTCCCTTTTTCAAGCTCTCTCACAATCATGCAGAAAAGACTCAGATTAGTTATAACAGGCAACTGATGGCAAGCAAGGGTCGTGTGGAAGGGGACAGTGATGTGACAGGTGGTAACTGCAGCCGGGTGTGTGTGTGCCCGCGCACGCACAACCTTTAGAGTATGGGCACGTGAGCTGATCTGGTCTGATGTCTCACATGATGGCCGCCATTACTATGGCTGCACCGGTCACACCCGCTGGTCCTGTGTCCCAGCGCTGCAGCAGCGGAGCCTCTCTAGGAAGCCCCCTCCTCTGGGTGGGGGATACGTGGGTCAGTGTCAGGGGTCTTCAGAGAATGGGAATATGGGAGCCAGTACTATGGCTAGTAGTACTTTTCCCGGTCGGAAAGAAAAGTAATGAATAATCGTTGAGGTTTAGATGGGTTTCCAAAAAAAAAAAAAAAAGAGAGAGAGATTGAAACCTGGGAGCAATTCAAATACTACCACCAAGAGACTGTCAAATCAGGAATGAACAAGATAATGTGGAGGGCTGGGAGAGTGAAGGGCAAGTCATTGGCCTGTTTGTCGGCAAGGCTTGATTTAACCGGGTGATCTGAAGAGACTTAGTGATCCCCGGCCACCCTGCCAGTGAGGGTGAATGAGGGGGTACATGTAAAGTGCACATAACAGGGCAGGCTCACCGCGCGTGCCTGCTGCTGACACAGGCTATCTTTACAGGTGGGAATAAAATTCCTTAAAAGGACTTCAATAGCCTGAGTTGAATCACTACACCTAAGAGTATTTCACTTCATCACGTTTGTTTGGATTCCCTTCAAATGAGAGTTCTTCAGGTTCATTTTCTAAATTCCCCACCCACTTTTTTTTTTTTTTTTTTTTAAACATTTGCAACTGCAACACAGTATGAGCTGTAGGGCTTGGTACCTTTTACGTTGCAGATCACACAGTTTTAGTACTAAAGAGTGCACAGTGTTCTAAAATACATTAAGATAAAAATCTTTAAATATCTAGTTTTTAAAGGGGAAGAGAATACAGATGGTGAGGAGTAGAACAGGATACAATCTCTATGTAATAATGAACACATTCAAATCCAGAGGTGATGTCGCACGGAGAAACACATCTTACAGACACTTTTTTTTTTTGAAGGTCATGGTTTTGTTTTGTTATGTTGTGTTTGTTTCAGATACTGTGAGTGAGAAAGAGCTATGTAAATAAAGCTAAACAGAAAAGGCTCAGATGGCTCCAGCTGAATTAGAAATGACCCAGGCACTAAGAGTTGAAGCTCTTGAGTTACAATCATCCACCTCTGTGGGGACAGTGGTTGGGAGCAGCTTTCTCACAGCGTATTTGTAACCTGGGCAAGACAGAGAAACGGAGGCAGAAGCACATGGTCAGGTCTACTCAGTCAGAACATGAATGGGTTAGACGGCCAAAGGCATGACTCTTTAGGTAATTCAAGAAGCCGGTTGGAAAACCCACATGAGTGGTTTCCCAGCTCTCTCTGTCAAAGAGGATTTCTGTGCAAGGAGAAACACTGAGAAGAAAGAGTGTAAATATAAACACATACACTGGCAAAGTGCAGACGAAGCCGAGGGAAGGTAACACAGAAGAAAAAGCTGCTGACCACATAATTAACGTGCCGAAGTGAAGAAAACACAGAAACGACTTTATAATGACCGAGAATACCCTGAACAGATGCCGCCGTCGCTTCTCCGACACGCAAAGCAACAACTAAAATGAAGTGTTGAAAAACAGAAAAATTAAACACCCCACACAGACTTTTCAGTATGCTCAAAACACTGTAGCACAGCCAGACCGTATAAACCATTTGTTAAAAAAATATCTTCTCTTATATCGTATGAACACACGTTGAACGGTCCCCTCGCCGGTGTTCACTGGTGAGCTCACCCCTGTGTGCGTCGCTGCCGCGTCAGCTCAGCCCGGCTCTGCGGTGTCTCTCGAACTCTCACACGTCTGCTTGCAGCTCCAGTAATGATGTGGATTAGAACAACCGTTTCTTGAGTAAATACGATCTTTCTGATGCCTGCAGTATCATCAAGACACGACCGGGGTCATATCCCACAACTGTGAGAAGGAAAAGAAAACATCTGATGAACTAAAAATTCAGCTGTGTTAAGGATCAACAGTCTTTCTCAGCAAATGCAAGTGAACGTTTTAATGGGACAAGCAACTACCAGCTATACTAACATGTCTTAATCTACTGACTAGTATTTTGCCACGAAAATGTTTAATATAAACTTCAAAACCATGGCTGTGGGGAATTGTAAGCCAGCCAGTGGAGAATAAGGCAGATCAGATTCATGTAAGGGGCGAGGGAATGGACATGTGTTAGTCAGGTCGCGTCTCAGCTGTGGCCCCTCCTGTCCTGGGCCTCTGCGGGTAGGACCACATCTATGCCGTCCAGCACAGTCCTCAGAGTGCCCTGGAGGAATGCTTCTAGATTAACTGATCTCATGGGGAAAAGATCTTGTTTATTCCTTGTTGGCTTATTGGAATCCTTCCTTTCCTTCGAGGCTCCACTAAACCCCACCGCCTTCCAGAAGCCACCTCCAGCAGCCCCGTCTCCGTCTAAGGTAATGCTTGCCTGGATCACTCTTTTGGCTGCTGAACACATGACCTATTATTAACCGTCAAAAAGACAGAGTAAGTCCCTAATAGACTTGCCCGTTCCCTGCAGCCAAGACCACGTCTGGCTTTGGTGTGTGCAGCCGTGTCCTGGTGTGGGGCCTTGTACATAATGGGTTCTCAAAAATGCTCACCGCTGAGAGTAACCTTGTGAGCAGACCTCACACAGTCTTGGGGCTCCGGTATGTTTACACGGGGCCCAAGATGGAAAGCTTCTAAAATACGATAGCATCCTACCTTAATAACCTTGTCAGTTCCAGAAGTCAGTAACCATCCTCTGGTTGCATCAAAATGCACATGCACAATGTTATGTTTACTGTCATGGAAGGTAGCCGTGGGTGCACGTCTGAAAGGAGCAGAGTTAAGTTTCCGAGAGTGAAAAGTCGTGACACAAGAATGAAAGAGATCTAAGGTGTCATTAAACTCTAATTTGCAGCCAAATGGCTAAGACTGCTTTATATTATTTTTAATTTTTTAGATGTTTATTTATTTTTGAGAGAGACATACACATAGAGTATGAGTGGGGGAGGGGCAGAGAGAGAGGGAGACACAGAATCCCAAGCAGGCTCCAGGCTCTGAGCTGTCAGCACAGAGACGGATGCAGGGCTTGTACTCAAGGACCATGGGATCATGACCTGAGCCGAAGATGGATGCTCAACTGACTGAGCCACCCAGGCGGCCCAATTTTTTAATTTGTTAAAAAGATTACTTACTTTTAAGTAATGTCTCTAACCAACGTGGGGCCCCAACTCACAACTTCGAGGTCAAGAGTTACATGCTCTACTGACTGAACCAGCCAGGCGCCCAAGACTCACTTTAAAACTACTCTTTAGACCTACCATTATTCCCCAGGAATCTGTTAATGATTTTTGTTCTTAAGGTGAAAGGATTCTTATCTTCTCCAAGATGGGAAGGTGATGATGACACTTCCCAAAGTCTTAAGGATTACTTGTTGCTCTGATATAGCCTATGAAACTCTCTACTGACGCTTTTGACAAATCTTAAAACAAACGCCTCGGTGCTTTTGCTAAGTCTCAGAAAGACTTGTGGGTACCTGTGCCTATTGACAGCAGAAGGCATACTGTTTCGAAGCCTCAGATACTATTACCATCCAGCTGAAGGGCTGCCTAATCTCTTCCCTCGTTCTCCTGGTGTAACTGCAGGTTTCGGTTTTCTATGGTGTTCTAACACTTCGACAAGTAAAACAGCCTATCAACAAACATCATTATTTGTTTTGTATTTTTTCATCTGTGTTTTTTTTTTTTCCAGTTACGAAGGCTTGTCAACTGCCTCAGTGGCCTAGAGGCAATGCAGAAGAGGCAGGACAGGCAGTGACATGGGGAAGAAGGGGAAGGAGGGACACGGAAGGAGACGGCTGTCCTCTCCTCATGTTTCAAGGGGCCCCACTCTGCAGCGGGCTCTCTGAAGATGGCCGTAACCTGTGGCTAAGTGTGCAGCACAGATCTTGAGTATTTTAAGACTGTCACTTTAAAATATATCTAGAATTCAAGATTTAGGGTCAACGTGCCGTTGCCTAGGCTCTCTGGGTCTGTGTCTTTATCTATAAAAAGAAGAATTAATTTAGAAGATCTCTGAAGTCTCTTGCAGCTCTCTAATTTAATGAAAAGAACTCGTTAATTCCATCACATATGATGGGTGGAAAATAATCAACGAACATACATGCTTATTGATGCAAGGGCATCTTAGTTTATCTTTGATATGGATAAGTAAGAAGGAAAAAGACACATAAATTAGGGTCATCTGTAAGAGAACACTTTGGTTTATTAATTGCCAAGAATTTCCTTTAAATGCTGATTTCCTCCAGTGCATTTAAAAAAAAATTTTTTTTAAACGTTTTATTTTATTTTTGAGACAGAGAGAGACAGAGCATGAGCTGGGGAGGGGCAGAGAGAGACGGAGACACAGAATCTGAAACAGGCTCCAGGCTCTGAGCTATCAGCACAGAGCCTGATGCGGGGCTCGAACCCACAGACCGCGAGATTATGACCTGAGCCCAAGTCGGACGCTTAACCGACTGAGCCACCCAGGAGCCCCCTCTGGTGCATTTTAAATGCGTTTCTATATACGTGCCACTTTCAAGATATCCATCTTGGACTTAAAACGATTCTACTATAGACAAGGTGTGGGAGTAGGTGGGGAGAATCGGGCAAGTAAGTTTTCCAGGAGAGCCTGCCGTCACACACTGTTTCCTTCTGGGGCACGTTGTAAGTAGTGGCATTGAAGAGGTAACACAGATGTGCCCCTCCACACCCACCCCCCATCCCCCTAATGCTGACGTGCAGGAACCTAAGGTCCTAGGTTATGGGGCAAGACCAGCAAGCAAGACTGAGTAGCTGGACAGCCGGTAGTCCGGGGCTCTTAGGTAGAGTGACTTAGTGCTTCTGGAGAAGACGCAGCCTCTGGAGCCTATGGGCTGACTCAGCTCCTATAAAGATACCAGCTTGGGCTGGAAAGTGAAGCTTGGGCTCCTGGACTCCTGAGCTCCTCTCAAGGAAATAAACAATAGAAGAGTTTGCTGGAAGAACATCTGTTTGCAGTGCACGTGTCCTTGGGGTGGAGAAAAGCACGGAAGACGTGAATTCTTTATGTGGACTCTCTTTTCCTGTCTTGTAAGAGAACACATATCTCTTGGCAGAAAGGAGGGCTTTGTCCACTTGCCATTGTCTATATTCTATACACTTTTTAAAGTTTATTTATTTATTTACAGAGAGGGTGAGGGAAAGCATGAGAGAGAGAGGGAGAGAGAATCCCAAGGAGGCTTCGTGCTGGGAGTGCAAGCCTGATTTGGGCTCAGTCCGATGAACCGTCACATCATGACCTGAGCCAAAACCAAGAATCAGACACTTAGCTAACTGAGCCACCCAGGCGCCCCGCCACGGTCTATATTCTAGACCGGCAGGAGCTAGGACACTGCTGGTCATGGCCGAGGTGGCGTGGGCAGCTTCCCAGATCACCTTCTCTCCTTAGCCCTGGAAACCCTGCACGCTGCCGGAACTCACTCTTCATCGGTGATGGCCTCGTGGCAGCTGTCACAGACCCTCACTTCAAACTCGAAGCCCATCAGGGGGATGGAGGAGCGCTTGGAGCTGCACTTGTCGCAGACGGCCTTCCCACACTTGCGGCAGTGGTGCTGGAGGGAGAGAGAGCACACTCTTGCTGCCGCTCCCACTCCTCGGCCTCGCCAGCTTCAGGCGTGGTCAGCAGTGTCCAGGTGAGGATGCTCAGCAAGAGTGCCCCACGAAGCTGAAGGACACACCAGGTATGTTCTCTTTGCGGGCTCTTTATTCAAATGGAGAGCTGTTGGAGAGATACCTGCTTGTGCCGCCACACCCCCCTTCCCCCACCCCTACCACGGCCCCCCTTTGCCCATTCTTGGTCCTTGCCAGATATCATTAGTATGAACCCCACAGATCACGGACGAAGGAGAACATGAACGAAACCCACTTCAGTCTACTGCCTACACTGTGGCCATGCTCCGGCTAGGGGACGAACCCTGATTTCCTCGGGGAGGTCCAAACCCAACCAGGAATCAGACTGAAAATGCTGCATTATTATGAGTAGATCTAAATGACTAACACTAAGATGGCAGGAGAGAAAGGGAGATTATTAAGAAAGAAATAAATACCACTTATATAATTTCATGGTATGATATGAAACCTATGAGCTATGAAAACTATGAGCTAAGCATGACCCCTCTAATTTTAAGGTGTATTTCGGTAAATGCCACTGGAATTCTAAAACCATATCCCTTAACCCCTTGGAACAAGGCACTCCAGAAACTGAATCCAGAAGGAATGGGCTGGAGGAGATAAGGAAATAAATTAACGTGCAGTCACGTTAGAACTGACCCCCACCACAACTCCTGCCCGGGGTGCTGGTTCTTCTAAGATTACAGGTGAAGTCATTTCCACTCTATTACATTCTGATGAGGGATCTGTACCACCCACCTGTCGGAGGCCAATTTTCTTACTGTCCCACATTTGCTTGAAGTTCCAGAAGAAAGGCTGATCACATTTTTGGCAGGAGTCGCTGTCCAACCACTCAGGGGTCTTGTGAAATAAAGCACAACAACAGGACACAGTGAGAAGCAGTGAGGACAATGGAACCATTGACGCTGATGAAAGTTACAGAATCAAGACGTGTTTGTAAAAACAGAGGTGTGACTGCTCAGTGAGTCACTGGAAAAAGATTCACCGAATGCCTAATGTGCGTCGAGCCCAGCGGATGGAGTGGTGAATAAAAAGAATCTGTGTCATCATCGGGCTTATAATTTATCAGGGAAGACAACACAAGAAAATATTATTAATGTCAGTTATTTAAGTACAAGGAGGTGCCAAGGGCTGAGAAGGCGAGGCAGAGTACCATGAGAGTGGAATGGCATGGGGGGGGGGCGTGTCAGGCACACTCCCCTGGCTGGGGCCACATCACGGAGTCCTGACAGCTGTGTTGATTTCATCGCATATTCTCGGATCGTATACAATTATATTTGCTCTGGCTGCATATAATTCTGTGTGACTGCCCATGACACACAGACACAGCCACCTGTGTCGGAAGGATACAACCTGGCCTCAGTGGGTACTCAGGGAAGCTGCCTGTCCACCGTCCACCCACGGCAAGGGTGACGCTTTGCTCTCTGCCTCATGGACCACATACTATTCTGCCTCTGTTCACTATTTCCCAACCCCATGACGAGTACTCAAAACTATGTCAAATAGGTTTAAAAGGTGTGTTAAGCTTAAAGTTAGTCCTTAGCAAATCTTTACGGATTATGCAAATGATGATTCTACATCAGTTTCTACTGTTCCATCTTCAACTCTATACATTTCATCATTTGGCAGAGAGACTGATCTCTTTCCACATATCACTGAACCCAAGGAACCTGGAAAAATATATCCAACTCCAGAGCCTGGAGCCTGCTTCCTATTCTGCGTCTCCCTCTCCCTCTGCCCCTCCCCTGCTCATGCTCTGTCTCCCTCAATCTCTCAGAAATAAATATTAAATAAAAGAAAAATTAAATATAAAAAAGTGAATTCCAGGAAACTCCAATGAGACTCACAGGACACTTCCCATATAGAAGAAGCCTGAGATCAAACAAGTGTGAGAAATATGACAAACAATAGCCCGCCCCCTCCCTCTATGAGATTCAACGGACAGTAGCAGAGCCAAGGTTCGGAAAGGCTCTTTTCTGTTGATGTAATCCTCTTCCAAAGAAGACCTACAGGACAGATTTTGGGGTTTAGCCTATTCTCACACCTCCAAGCAGCAATGAACCTAAAACTATACACATTGTCTCAAAAAAGAAAGGTAAAAAGGTGACATTTTAGGAGTTCCAATTCCTGGTCTATTTACTTTATCAAGACCAAAGAGTTATTAAGAAGTAAAGCCTTGATTTGCTTTGTAAGTTTCATGCTCTAATTAGTTTAAAGAAAGATTTAACAAAATAATACAAAGTTTTCAGGCAAAAACATTTCATCCCTAAAAGATTTATGTATGTTGTGATTTTTCAAAACACTTATCATGCAGGGAAATTTACAAAAAAGTCACACACACGCACTACCCATCTTTTATAAGGAAGCATACAGGTTTAGGACATACATCAAATGCATCATAGTGGGTGTCTATGAGGGGGAAATGGGGGGTTAAGGATCAGGAAAAGGGAAAAAAATCAGCATGTGTACTATGTTCCCACCCTACTACCCCCCAAAATGCTTGTACACGTGTATTTGCAGAGAAAACTGTAAGGAAGGACTTTTGCCAACATGTTACAGTGATATTTCTGGGGTGGTTGACATCTTTTCTTTTTGTTAATGAGCATTCTGTAATTTTTCTGCAAAGAACATGCATTATATACACTTCTAAAAAATGGTAACGATTTTTAAAAAAATGGATCTCACTAGCGCAGGTTTAGCCTGTGAGATGTCAACTCGATGCGCACCCAGCCACTCAGTCTTCCATCTGCTCCCCCAATGCCACCTCGCTGCCACACCATCACCTGTGACTGCTTCTACTGCTTACAAGCATAGGGTGTGACTTCTCTCGTCACCTTGTCTTTACTTGTGGTGTCTCCTGTCCTGGTCGGAGCACATCCAGGCCCCATCAAGCTATCAGCGCCATGTCCTTCCACAAGCTCTCTGCTGTGAAAGTTAGCCAACAGCGGTCACACCCCTTCCTAAATACCCGGCACTAACGTTCTATCGTACGGCAACTATAATCGAATCCTTCATACCACTTAATAACAGAAAAGACCCACATGTCTTTTCTTCCAGAAATTCTGCCAGCACAGGGACTGCTTCCTAACTGTCTCCAGCCTCCTGAGTTAAGCACCTTGCCAACAGCACTTGCCATGACCCAGAAGTAGCTCCGCGGACACAGCTCAGGGGATTTATATGTATAAAAGATGGCCCTTGCAAAAATGGCTGGAACTATCACTCAAAGAAGACGATTCAAAACAGTCAGCCAAGTACCAAGTGCCCCTACGGCTGCATGTCAAAGGGCATAACTTAAGCAAGATGACTCAAAGGACAGCCCATCATCCACTTGGTTTCATCCCTGGAAACCGCATCATTATCCTCTTTGGGGCCTCTGTCCATCAAGGGTGGAGGCCGCATGCACTGAGGGAAAAGAGCCAGGTGCCCTCCCCCGCCCTTGGTCTGGTCAGTTAGGCCTGGGAAGAAGTCAGGACAGACTAGGTGTGACCGTCCCTCACCCAAAGCAGGCTACAGCACAGAATGCACAGGCACACAGACAGCCTGACTGGTGTGACCCGCACACGCTGCCCCAGTTTCCCTGCTGTTACACTGAAGGGGCCAAGTGCTACTTTCAAAAGCAATATTCTACAATTCCCCACTTCCTAACAGTAATGATCATTTTAATTAGCTACTAATAGAACTCCCATGGATTTATGGTTTGGGCAAGTCAGGCTTTAATCTTCTTAAGCATTTAATTACTGGCATTTGAAAGGCATTACACTGTGGATAATAGCAACTACTCTCTTGAAATGAGATTGGGGTGAGTGCATGGAAAGAAGTTGGGAAATTGCTTTTGTCTTTTTAAAGTGTTGTTTTTCTGTCTAATTCTTGCACCCTGCAAAGAAATAAATTAGAAGAATATACACCGTCAAAGGGAAAGTTCACCCAGCATAATTCTAGGGAAATGAGAAAACGGTTAACTTCAAAGTCCTTGTCAAGGGAGATATTCAGTAAACAGATCAGTTGTTATGATGCTCAAAGATGGAAAAAGAAAACTCATAAAAAAAAAAAAAAAAGAATCCTAAGATAAAACTTACATGTATGCGTCAAAATGGCAAAGTATATATTTGCGTCTGGAGAATGGTTAAAGTACAAAAATAGTTATTTCTGATATTTCTATTAATATCAAACTAAAGACTCTGACTTCATCAAGGACCACTTCTCACGCATCAGCCACCGATCTCTAACATAAAGCCCATGGGTTTTCTATGCTCCTAGGGCACTTTAAGGAGGAATCGTCTGAAAATAGATGGTTCCCTTTCTCTCCTCTGAACTTTGGTTGTGAATGGAGCAACAGATTCAAGGTCTAAACAGCTTAGTCTTGGTGGAAATTCTTATGAAATCTCTAATACGTGAATGTTACATGCCAATTTGTGAGGGGTACAAAAAACGGGATTTCCTTTTGTACTAGGAATTTTTTATTCTCTGACATAACATGTCTTATTTCATGGTTTAATCATAAAAGAAATAAGACATGACCAGAAGGGGAGGCTGAGGCGTTTCTCTGCAGAGCCGGAGCCGCAGGGTCCAGCCCAGCCCGGCGGCCCTGAAGTGGTCCTGTGACCTGCCGTGTGACACGTACCTCCTGCCGCTCCACATCCATGTTCCAGACCACAATCCCACCATCACCACCGCAGGAGATGAGCTGCCGTGTGTGCTGCGCATAGGAAAGGGCCTGGACTTTGTCGCTGCAAAAGAAAGCGAAGGTCAGTGACAGTTTTGGAGAGCAACGGAAAGCCCTGAGAGCAACGGAAAGCCCTAAAGGCAGGAAGCCCAGCAAAGTCAATCAACGCGCATGCTCACCCTGGAGCCCCAAGCCTGGATCTTAGAAATCAGATGGAATTAAAATGTTTATTTAAGACACTGAGGCCCCAGGAAGAGAGAGTCTTTGTCAGTTACCAACACTTAAGGGAAAAAGCTGATTACTGAACTCAGTGGAAGATGGTACTGGCCCCTTCCTTAACTGATTCATTATATAAAATCTGTGGCACATGTTCGTGCTCTATTTGTTCAAAAGTCATGATTTTACCTTTTTTTAAAAAAAATTTATTTTAGAGAGTGTGTGAGTGGTGGAGAGGGACAGAGGGAGAGAGAGAGAGAAAAAAGAGAGACAGAGGGAATCCTGAGCAGGCTCCACGCCACTGCGGAGCTGGACGGGGCTCAATCCCACGACCCTAGGATCACCACCTGAGATGACATCAAGAGTTAGATGCTCAACCAACTGAGCTACCCAGGTGTCCCTGATTTCACCTTTAAAAAAAAAAGTATCCTTTTTTTAATGTTTATTTTTGAGAGACAGAAACATAGAGTGTGAGTGGGGGAGGGGCAGAGAGAGAGGGAGACAGAATCTGCAGCAGGCTCCAGGCTCCCAGCTGTCAGCAGAGAGCCCAGTGTAGGGTTTGAACTCATGAATTGTGAGATCATGACCCAAGCCAAAGTTGGATGCTTAACCGACTAAGCCACCCAGGCACCCCCAAAAAGGTATCCTTTAAGAGTATTGGCAGTCATTCAAGGGAATGCCCACTGCATTCCTCCTAGAGCCAGGTAAACCATGTTGCCTGAGGAGTGAGGCACATCATGGTGGCTTCAGCCAAAGGGTACCATTTCTTGGCTTCCAGAGTAAAACCAAAGGAGCAGTAGACTTGAGTTTTGTCGACTCTCTATTTTCTCTAGTTTTCATTCCCTCTCTACTCATTATGTGTTTTATTTTTCTTTCTAGTTCATACATAGCTGACAAATTATTCCCTCTTGGGGACAGCCAAGACCATTTCCATGGTCTGACAATTTAATGATCACTAAAGAAAGGTAATATACATTATTTTCCATTGGGTTGGGGGAATAAGAAATCTGACTTCTTGGTTGTTTCTGATTGAATATGTTTCTATTTTGAGCTCAAATCAATTAAGGATTCTGTGCCCACTGGGAAGGAGAACAACTCCTTGAAATCTGGACTGGTGATTTTTTGTGTGTGTTTTTGTGTTTCCTTTTGACTCGCACCTGAAGTTGTGGAACAGATGCTGCTGAAGCCCCATGTCTCTGTGTCTACACCAGCAAGGCCTGTCCCTCTCATGTATGGAGTGCTATTCTATCTATTTCTAGAGGGTGTCAACAACTTAGATTATAGTATTATTTCTTTTTTATTTTTTTAATTTATCTTTTTTTTTAGATTATAGTACTTTTTAAATTATAAGAACTTGTTCTATTTGGCTTATAAAGAGAAACAAATGCTTACAGAAATGGATTCTTCCTAAACATAACAGAAAAAAAGGAAATGGAGCCTCTAAAACTTTACATTTACTAGACTTATTATTATTTTACAGAAAATACTAACTCAAGAACATTTTAAGAATCTAAGTTCAGAGAGCTGAGGTTAACTCTTTGGCAAGTGAGACTAGTATGGTTGCATTTTAAAACACAGCTATATCTTTCTCTGATTTATCAGTGCTAAGTATAACCCAAGTGTACAAGTTATTTTAATGGGGTTGATTTCTTGTAAAAGTATATGGGGGTAACTAACTGGTCAAATAAGCTAATATTATACTTACATAATGCTTAAGACTATGAAAAATATAAATTCATGTTCAACCGAACTGAATAATTGTTTTGATAAACTTTTTCTATAACTAGCAGTTATGTTTTATAGCACATCAACTTAAAGATAATCCCTAAGATCTTTAGGTAACTTAAAATGGACTAATATTAAGTTGAACTAAATGATAAATAATCATCGGATACCAACTTAGATAAGTTCTAAGTAAGTCAGAATACTGAAACTTTGATTACAAAGCATAATGTTATGTTTATGTTTCCTTTTTATTTTTTACATTATAGAGAGGCTATCACTTAGGTGAGTCATGTCAGTGAACAGGTTCATGTACACCACCTTAAGGAGACACACAAGTGGTGTACGTTGCAGTGGAAATTTCTGTTGTGTGTGCTCATGAGCTTTGCTAGCCTGCTAGGATGCTTACATGTGACAGTGTTCAATTATCCACAGCCTCCCGCCTCCCAAGTTTCTCTGTGAAATATACGTTAGTCACTTTGGCTAATTATTATAATTAAAATGGGTGGTTGAGACTATGCCAGGGGCAATAATAGAAACAAGATATACCTATCCATGGGCTTTTGTTTTTCAAAGAGAAAATAGAATAGTTTTGGCTTAAAGCAATGTTTCTCGAACTTTTTTTGTCTCGGGACCCCTTTACGCCCTTAGAGCTTATTTGAGGACACCAAAGAGCTTTGGTTTAAATACGTGATAACTATCAATATTTGTTGTATTTGAAATAAAAAAAATATATTGATTCCTTTGGAACTAGCAATGGATCCATTCCATTTTAATATAAATAACATATATTTGATGAAAATTGACTGTATTTCCCAAAGTGACACATTCTGATGACAAAAATGGCACTGTTGAACATTTCTGCAATTCTTTCCAATTAATATCTGGCTTAACAGGAGGGAGTGAGCTGAATGATCATCTCTTTTTGGATTATTCTGATGCCATTCATCATGCAGCCTCTGCAAAACTCCATTCTGCATTTTTGAGAGAATACGGATGAATAAGGCAGTTCTAAAGTAAAGTATAAATTTGTTCCAGAAAATGAGGAAGAAAAATGAAGGACAAAACTTGGAACGTGAATTTTATTTGCTTTGGTTTATAATACTTGAGTCTGAAAAAAGAGCAATAAAATGCTCTTAAAATCTTGGCATGGCTCCCTCAGTTTTGATGGCCTGCTTCCTTGCCTAACTGATTAATGCCGTTGACTACAATGCAAAAGGCTATTCTTTACCTTCTATAGAATCTGCCTAGCTAGCAAAGATTCTGTGTGTCGCCACAATTATTTTCAGAGCTTTATGTCGACTTGGTTAAAGTCCCAGAAACATCTTTGACAACTCTTTTGATTGTGCCCTTCCCAGACTATACCCTGTCTTTTGAAAACATAAAATAAAAAATTTGGGATACAATTTACACCGACAACTATCTTTGAGGTTTCCTGGAGGGAACCTTGAGAATTGTAAAGATGTATTCCTTTGCCTCAGAAAAAGAGAGATGCTATAAATAACCGCATTTGTTTGCTGTGCTGCTATTTTAAGAGTTTCATGGGAGGAGCTGTCAGATCATAAGAGATGCCCGGTCTTCCCTGGTCAAGTCAGTATAGATAAGATGTTATTAATACATAAGGACTTCCAAAGTTGCATATTTTATGGGAGGATCCTGTAGATTTACCAGAGCTCTCATTGTCTAAATACTGGTCAAAACTCTTGGGAAATAGTTATGGAGGCTATCTCAATAGAGAATTTTATTCTCTTCCATTATGATATTATCTGTCAAAGTAAAAAACCCCCAAAACACAAAAAACAAAACAAAACAAAAAACCCCAAAAAACCAACCCTAACCATTAAAGTCTGTATAATCTATAGGTAACTTCTGTTTCACTGTGATGCTTGCCTGAGGGCTCTGCTATAATCTATAGACCAGAAAGGATAATCTTGAGAGTTTCACAGAAAAGGATGACACGTACCACGTATTTAAAAATATTGCTATTTCAAAGAACAGACTCTCGGGCAAAGGCAACACAGCTGACATGGCTTAGACAATTTTTAAGCTGTGCTAGTGGACCAAGTCAGGATTTCCTTGGATTTCTGGACTCTTTTCAGTCTGGCTGCAGATAGCTTCACGAATGCAGACTACTAAAGCAAGAACGAGCTGAAGAAGAATTAATTACACAGGTCTGAATGAACTGAAGAGGGACATTTTACTATGGTTATCTGTCTGGAAAACTGTTGATGTTGTTTGAAGGTTCTCTGGATCTATGAGGCTGCCTTTTCTCTTACTTTTTTACCCTATGTCTAACCTATAATCTAGTAAACTCTGCTTTGATAAGCTAAAGGAACAGTTGAAAATGACATCCAGTTTTCAATGATTCCCCCAGAATTAAAAAAAGTACTACTGAATCCCCTTAAATTTAATGGCAATAGATTTAGTTCATAGGTTCGGTTAGCATCTATCCAAAGGATATGACTTGGCAAGCAAGTCCTTACCTAGAGTGAGTGATATAAGAGAATGGTGCTCATTGAATCAGGTATGATGAGCCACTTGAACTTATGGAGTGCCTTCCCAGGAAAACTGGCTGAGTACTGGGTTTACAGGGTCCTGGCCTTTTGAGTAGTAAGGAAACTACCAGGCCAGGCACCTGGCAAATGTTGGAAACCTTAAGGAATTCGACCAAGGTTGTAAATAAGAGAGGTGAAATACGGTGGAGAATCTTTGGGGCTTGCTTTCCTAATCTTGACATAGCAAATAACAGAGGCTTTGAAAAGCCCAATCCAAGATTCCTTATAAAAACTTGCAGGCAGAAGTTAATTTTGCAGGCTTGCTAGTTACTGTTGAACACTGTTTGGCTCTATTATTTGCAAAGCAAACCAAGAAAACCTATATGGTTAATGAACACTCTCAGCGTACAATGTAAATAATGAGGCCAAACCTTATGAGATCAACCTTTTGTGATCAAGAATAATCTTTGAGATTATGGTGATTACAGGAGAGGAGTGGGGGAAGACTTATCAGACACACTGTGAAGCAATGAAATGGGTAAAAAGAAATTACTAGTGGGGCGCCTGGGTGGCTCAGTCAGTTGGGCGTCCGACTTCGGCTCAGGTCATGATCTCACAGTTCGTGGGTTCG